AAATATGCAAATATATTCACACTTCGGTGGAAACAAAGTTGTGAATGTGACATATAAATAACGAAATAAAATAAAAATTGCACATGTGAAAAATCTAAAACTAAAAAAGACAAAGCCAAAACACCAACACCCCTTTTCACAAACTAACGAAGTTCAATTCACATCCCACATGTAGCATTCAAAACGATGAAACTAATTTCAATGAGTTTTGTATAACCGGTTCCCTGTTTTGTACATCGATGGAGCACCTAACAATTGTGTGTGTGTTTTTGCATTCATATAGATGATGCACATTGTTTATGTGAATATATGGTAACAAAATGTGCATGTATGTGTAGCTACACACAAATACCATAAAATATCCCAACAAAATCAATGTTGCAACCACCAATTGTAAGTGGCAAACATTTCAGTAGCCAAAAATATATTACTTTGTTGCTGTAGCTGTTAACTGAAATATACCATTTCAATATATTTGCACACAGAAATGAATGGTTCAAAAGACCTCAATACGGTTTATGTGCTGGCTGAGCATTAAATGTGTATTGTCTGTTGCCCATGCACTAGGGTTGCCAGGCTACAAATATCTTTATAAGTTTGGGCAGAGTACATAATTTGTGAAAATAGAAACATCATTTTCTGGTACTTGAAAACCTTTCTTGAAAGTCATTGGCCAAAGAAACGAGGATTTAAACCATATGAACTTAGAAAAGCCGATAAAAGTGTGTGCCCCAACAAAATATTTTATAAAAATTTAACATATTCCAATTGTGGACTCTATGTCTGAATAGCATTTTATATAAATGTCAGTTGCTACAAAAATCTTTTTTACCGGACTAAGGGCATTAATCCAGTGATGCTTTTTTTTAATTAATTTTTTTAAAGTAAATTTCACCTCTCTTCCGCCCAAAATTTTCTTGTTCGAAAATTCCCAGAAAATTCTCTATTCAACATTTATCATCCACTCATAACATTTCAATGGACGAAAACCTCAAATACGATTTTATGATGCTTTATTTTCGGAAAATCCCTCTATGTTGTTATGGTTCCTGTAGTAGTTATTGTTGTAAAATTGCTGCTGTTGCAACATTTCCCAAAAAATCCATTTAAAATCATTGTTGTTGCATCATCACCATCATCATCGTAAATCTCAGCAATGATACTCAAAGTTCATTTGCCCTTGGCTTCCAAAATAAATATATATGTGTGTGGAGGACATATTTAAGTAAACTTTAATTGATCTAATTTATAGGATTAGAATCTCTTATCGGTTAATTATATTTTTGCTACACACACACAAACTAAACTAATCCCCAGGCGCTATAAAATGCAAATAATAAATGAATGGACGGACAGACACACAGATAGACAGTCACAGAGACAATACGATACCGGTATTAGTCTATTACGATTTATGAATGGCAAACCAGTACAATTGTACAACGAAGATTGCCATGGGGATTATTTAAGTGGGCAATTAAAAGCAGACAATTACAAAAGAGGAAGTTACTGTTGTCGATGGGCCACAAGCGTGGGAAGTTCTTGGAAGATTTATTACCGGACATATGATTTGTGTGGAGAATGAAGGGATATTAATTGTATTAGGAATTTTATTTGGGGAAGAGTAATTTGTCAATATTAAATAGTTATTTATTTAAACCTAAATTGCCAGCACAAAAATTCCTTTAATCATTCTCAATTTTGATAATAAAACTGAAGTGATTCCTTCCTTTCATCGGTTTGAAATTGCATTTGAAACCCACACCTCTTCCTCTAAACTTTGTTGTCATTTAATTAAAAGTTTGTATGAATTTTTTAACTATTGACTAAGAACAAAGGAATTTTTGTGACACTTATCCTAAAAAGTAAAGGTAGAGGAGAAGAAGAAAAAAACTAACTATAGGTGTTGGATTCTGGGTATAAAGCTTATTGGCATAGAACTCTGCTTGCGGATTGTTCTTTTTTTTTGTTTCAACACCAAGATGTTGAAGAAGTGGGTTTAAAGAAAGATAGAATTGAGAAAAGAAAGTGAGATAAAGAAAGATATTGTGAAAGGGATTTAAATTAACACACATGTTCGAACAACATTGTTGTAATCGATAGATAGATAATAGGTGTGTTCCCACATATTTCCAAAATAAAAAATACAAAAAATTGAACTCTTAGCATAGCAGATAATAATTCGACCTGTATATGGAGGCTTTATCAAAACATAGACCTATAGTCTATAACCCTCTGAAATGTTAATTTATATCCACATCGGTTCGGATCTTATATGAGGGCTGGTCAAACCTGTCAAGAGCCCTATTTATCTCTTAAAACTCGCAGCTATCTTTTTATAGCGTGTGTTTAAAATTACGTTGAAAACTTGAAATGGCTATGTCGAGTGGAAAATGCGGAAAATACGTAAGTGACTTTAATATCGGTCCATGTTGAAATCAAATTATACCAACTTCAAATAGCAGTGCTGTTAAAGGGGGGTAATGGGCGGTGTTATGTTAGTACGTTTTTATACCCTCCACCATAAGGTGTCATTTTGTTTGCAACATCTCGAAATATTCACTGGAGACCACATAAGGTATATATATTCTTTATCAGAATAAAATTCTATGTCGATCTACAAATGTCCGCCAGTCTATACGTATGTCGAAATCATGATAGAGATAGCAATATTCAAGATGGAGCTCTGAAATTTTGCACAGACATTGCAAGTGCTCCTAAGATGTTTGGTATGGCAAATGGCATATGTCGGGTTTGGTGTAGCCGCCATACAAAGGTATCCCCCAATTGACACACGTTTTCTAACAGAATTGGCTGTAATTTGGCATTTTGGTTTCTGAAGGTATATCACATCTCCATACCAAAAATTACTAATATTGACCCAAATTTCAGGGTAGCGCCCATATAACGGTAAACCCTAATATTCGGTATTTTGAGAATTCCGGACACTTCTTAAAACCGATCTGGAAATTATTTGGCATTTTGGGTTCTCATTGAATAACACATATTCGTACCAAAAAATATTCATATCGACTCAGGTTTCAGGGTAGCCTCCATATGACGATATCCCTAATATTCGGTATTTTGGACAGGCTTTGCCATCGAATTGGCTGTAATTGGGAATATTGGGTTATCATTATATAACACATATCCGTAATTATAATATCCAAAAATTATTAATATTGACCCAAGTTTCAGGTTAGCCCCCATATAACGATACCTCCCAGTATTCTGCATTCTAGGGATTTTGGATACGTTTTTCCACCGAATTGTCTGTAATTTGGTATTTTAGGTTCTCATTGAATAACAAATATATTTACCAGAAATTATTTATATCGACCCATGTTTCAGGGTGGCCACTATATAAGTGTACCCCTTATTATTCGGTATTTTGGACACGTTTTCCAAACGAACTGGCTCTTATTTAATAATTTAAGTTCTCAGTGAATAACAAAAATATCCTTACCAAAAATTATTAATATTGAACCAAGTTTCAGGATAGCCCCCATATAACGGTACCCCCGTTATTCGGTATTCTTGGGTTTTAGGTACGTTTCTGCGAGCGGAATGATAAATTTGATTTAGTCTTCTAGACAATAAAATGGAACTCCTGGTCTACGTGTGAGAAATGTATATTTCAAGATTCGTGAACAAGGAGAAAAAATTTCATCGAAAGTGACGATATGTCTGCAGTCAAATTAATTGTTTTTTTTTTTTTTTTTTGGGAACATGAGTGTTTGCTATGCGTTTTTCTTCCTTGACATGTACACTAATTACCACAGGATAATATTTGTACACCCAAATATATTATAAAATATAAATCTGAAGATTATATGTAGGTATGTTCAACGACAAGAAAACAATATTTGTATGTCGTAACTCTCCTTTTCGATTTTTCCCAATCCAAGAAAATCCTACAAGTTATTACATTTTCAAGAAGTAAAATTTGTCTTATATTAAATATTTTTTTATTAAAATAAATTCTTTAAAAATCAACTACTTTTCTATATAATTAACCCGTTTCTTTCTCCTTAATTTTTCAGATAAAAAAGGGAATTCCAGCAAATAACCTCATCATTTCAACTCTTCAATTTAATTCACAAGAAAAAGAAAGCATAATATACACATTGAACGAAAAATATAATCCCGATAATATGTGCCAATCCGCCTCACTCAGTAGAAGCTATTATCTCCAAAGAGGATATGCATGAGCATTTAGTCTCTCGGTGAGCTAGCAAGCAAGTCATATCAAAGTCGTTGTTTCACATTTCATCGCTCACAGACACACACACACACTTAAAAAAATGATGACAACAACAAAAGACCGGAAACATGTTTACAATCAACAATTATCCCTTACAAAGAGACAATGTTCGTCGATGTGGCGATCCGGCTATGGGTGGTGGTGGCGGTGGTGTTGTCTTATCATTGCTACAAACTTATTAAGTTGTTGTTCGTTGTCTGGCATGCTGATACAGCCAACAATGGCAGAGTTGGAAATACATTTAGAGAATGCTGAGGGGAGAGGAGGAGAAGATGGAACTGTTCGACATCAAGGATCTGCCACTAAAAGTTTCATCACGCAGCTAGCCGGAAACACTACCGGTGATGCGACAACAAAAGGCCATATTGCAATGGCTCAAAGTGTTGTTGGTGATTTAGAGATTGCCGGTGTTACCGAGACCGGGGGAAGTAATGAAAGTATAAATAATAACTTTGGCCGTTTATATAAACAACACAGCAAAGAGGCAGAAGTTTCATTAAAGTCAACGTCGCTTGGCACCGAGGAGAAGGATGTGGTTGTAGAACCACAACGGAATTCAGTTGCCACAATAGAAATGGAAATGAATTTATACAAAAGTAAAGGCTTTGCAACGCCGCCACCGACAACGGCCACCACCACAAACACAGCAACCGCAATTAGTAGCAGCAGCATCAGCAGCACATCAACCACCACACCATTGCAGCCATGGGATTTTAATAATACCATGGAGCTAACTGAGAACACCTTTCACCAGGAGTGCATGGCAAATCGCAACTCTTTGGCTCATGTCTTCACCGTGGCTTTGTATTCGGTGGTGTGTGTGGTGGGCCTGTTCGGCAACACCCTGGTGATATGGGTGGTGTTTCGTTTCTCAAAAATGCAAACGGTAACAAATATTTATATTCTTAATCTGGCCATTGCAGATGAGTGTTTCCTCATTGGCATACCGTTCCTATTGTACACCATGCGGATTTGTAGCTGGAAGTTTGGCGAATACATGTGTAAGGCCTATATGGTGAGCACATCGATAACCCAGTTCACCTCTTCGATATTTCTGCTGATAATGGCAGCGGATAGATATTTGGCTGTGTGTCATCCCATCGAATCGCCACGCTATAGGACGTTACGTATTGCCAAGTTAGTATCGATGATAGCCTGGATTACTTCGGCCATACTTATGATGCCGGTGATATTGTTTGCCAGCACAATACGACAAGAGGATGGCATTAACTATTCATGTAACATTGATTGGCCCGAAGTGTACAAGAAACACTCTGGGACGACTTTCATACTCTACACATTCCTGCTGGGCTTTGCCACACCGCTCTGTTTTATTTTGGTCTTCTATTATTTGGTAATTAAAAAACTGCGTAGTGTCCAGCAGAAACATAAATCGAAGGAAAAGAAAAGGTCGCACCGCAAGGTTACACGCTTAGTGTTGACCGTTATAACGGTATACATACTGTGCTGGCTGCCCCACTGGGTCTCCCAGGTATCGCTGATTAACTCCTTTGTGGGTCACCGTGAACTGACAAGGGTGGAGATTTTGTTATTCCTGCTCTTCGGCTGCCTGGCCTATTCAAATTCGGCCATGAATCCCATACTCTACGCATTTCTAAGTGATAATTTCCGCAAATCGTTTAGCAAGGCCTTCAGCTGTGTAACCAGTCATGAGGTGGAGGCACAATTAATTAACGAAAATAGTGTGGTAACACACAAACGGACGGGCAGTGGTGCGAAGCAGCGCAAGGGCTCAAGACGAGTGTCGGTGCCAAAGACGGGGCCATCACCGCAACAGAATAATTGTTTTCTGGCACCGACGATTGTCCACAACAGTGGTGGTGGCTCGTCGTCCGGCACCTCAGCATCGACAGCAACAACAGCCACAGATAAATCATCGAATAGTAATCAGAAGTCGAAGAAGGAAATTAATGGTGGTGTCATTTGTACCACAACAAAGGATGGAGAAAAAATTACACTGGTAGTAAATCAAGAAGTTGAGGGGGGAGAAGTGGGTGAGTTGGGGCAGGCGAAAAGTGAGAATCAAACCAATGTGTAGAGGGAGAATGATGGTGGCTAAAGTAGGAAGATTATGGAAATCAGCCTAAAAATATGCAACGAACATTTGTGTGAATTGAGGTTTATCAGCTGTTTATTGCAATTTGCGCCTAATTGTATGCTGTAAATTAATTATAATCTGTATTTTGATTAAATTAAATTAATGTATTGTATTTTTTTAATTATTAAGTGGTATATTTAAAATACTAAGAGGAAAATAAAGAAAAAAATGAAAATATTTTAACGAAGTTAAGATTTTTTGATTATATGTAAATAAATTGAAATTAGCTTAAGAAAAAGATTTAACAAATATAAGATAAGTATATAATTAATTTTTTACTTGATGTAATGATCTCTTTCCATGAGGCAGATTGTATGGGAAAATGCAAAGCAAATTTTTAAGAAACCGATCATGATACATACACACATTAGGTGTTGACATTGTCGGGATTAAATCTAATGAAGTATCCCCTAAGAGAAACAAAATAATGGACTTATGTTAAAATACAAAACTACGTCTTACATATATACTAAAAGTGTATAAAAGTAATAATTCTAAATATATTGTAAATGATTGAAATTAAAAAAAAATTACTAATAGTTAATACTATGGTTTTGTTTTTTTTTTTTTTTAATATAAATTAAGAAAAAAATCACACCAAAAAGCCCACAAAGAATTTAAATGAAATAAAAGCATTTATGAATTTAAGCTGCATATTAAAACAATTTTTTTTAAGTATTTATAAGTTAGATATTCAAATGAACATAAATAAAATAATATCTCCCATTTGAAAATATACAAATTAATATTTATTATAAAATACCTTTTAAAATATTTATGACTATACAAAAAATTTGTTTACCTAAAAGATTTGAATCTCAAGAGCTTTTATGCGCATTTTTTTCATTTGTCTTCTAAAATATGGAATAAATAATGACCTTTAAATGGTGTTCAAACAAAATTTTATTTATGGTTGAAAAAAAAAAACAAAACTAAGCCCCAAAGTCAGCAATTATGAGATTTACATTTATTATTTACTATCAAAAAGTCAATATATTTCGAAAAAAGGCCACAATGGGTCTAGATGTTGTTATTTTGTTATCACCTATCTAATAATTCTTTATTTTCCGCACCCATTTTCATTTTCTCCTTGCCCTCTACTTTTATAATATATTAGAAGTACCAAAAAATAATATAAATGAAACTGTGTATGTATATTTTTGTATAGGCCTAAACTGAAATTTAATTGTAATTTATGTATGCGCCTGGAAATAGGAAGTTGTAATTTATGGACAAGAAAAAAACGTAGCTAAAAATGTATATTTTTTCCAGAGAACACAAAAAAAAAAAAAAAAACAAAAAATAAAAAAAGAAAATAAAGCGACAACAGCAAAAACATTATTCAAGGGATTAGTTAGTAAATTAGTTTGTAACATTGTATAGAGTAATGAAAATATTTGTGTAGTGTGAATGGTATTGGTAAATTTATGTAAATATGCAAATATTTATAAATAATATTCCATGTGTCCAATGTTAAACACAATTTGGTGAAAGAATTTAAAACGAAAATGTAACGATAATAGAGGAAATGACAACTGCAGGTTTTCGAGAGGAGAATAATGATAATGAATATGAAATTTATTCAAAACTTTACGACGAAGTTCTAATTATAAAATATTTTTTTTAAGGAAATTCTCCTATAAAAAGAAGGCATTTCGTAAGATAACAGTACTAGGCTATATTAACTTCTTTGTGGACCACCATGAATCGATAAGGGTGGAGATTGTGCTATTATTAATTCTTGTCTGGCTCACAAATTAAAATTTGGTCAGAAATCTCATTTTATGGCGCCCTTGATTGTCCAGTGGTGGTGGTTTCCCATCCGTCAGATTATTAAATACATAGTTCTCTTGGAAAATGCTTCTATAAAGGGAAAGGTATCTATAAAAGGCTTTAGAAACTTCCCTTGTAAAATGAAAACATGTCACGTTTTCTATAATAGAAAATCCGTTTTTGAATAACTTCTGAAGATCTCGAACCTGTTATATTAGATTTTAAAATTTTCTGTAGAAAGAATTATTTGAGAGTAATTTATTGAGTGAAGTCTTTAACAATGGATATTTTGTAGTTTTCTGCAGATTGACCCTGTAAACATGTTCTATAAAATATCGAAACTGTTTAACGAATATTGCTGCAAATTTGAAAGACCTTAGTATTATTATAGATAAAAGAAAGAATGTACAATTCAGGGTTTTCTATAATAATTAAAGTATTTATAAATGGATCCTCTATACAAAATTGCACCATTTGTGGCTCCCTTTAGATCCCTAGCTACATTCTAGAAATGGAGGAACGAAGTCATAACTTCTAGTAAAATATTATCCAATATTCTGGAATATATATTGAAAGCCTTCTACAGGACTCTTATGTAGGTAGCCCTCTAAAAATCGTTCAAACCAAGAATTATTGTGAAATCGGCCGGTAATTGTTTGCTGACTGGTATTTCTATTTTATTTCTTTGGAATATATAGAAAACTCCTAATTTGCGGTGGAGAAAACACCTCACCGCAGGATCTGACCAACGAATTATTATGTCAAAAATTATAAAATGTGTATGTAATGGCTTATATGTTCACTTCGGGATGACATGACCCAGAAAATTTGCCAGTTTATGATAGGGGGGATATCAATTCTATTGATGTAAGAGGGCGGATATGGTATGCATACAAACATGTTTATAGGTATTGCCAGCATAGGTCGGTAGGATCTCCCAGAAATATTTTTAAATCTTCTAGCATCACCGGAATTTGTGTTTCTTCTTGAAATTTACGTCAAATTTACGTATGACGTATGGACCTCAAATTATCAACTGTTATCCGGACCAAAAAAATGGGAGAGCACACAAAAGCGGTACCCTATCAAGTAAAAATGCCGCTAAGTTCGCCTACGTAGAACATTGCATATCCCCATCGACTAGACTTTTATAAAGATCCCCTTTCGGATAGACAGAACCTCTTTTCAGTATAGTTAAGATACCTTCTATCGGTAAAAATTCTAGAGATGTATTATCTCCCGTAGGTCTTTTAGGTACTGATAAATTCTTAACGGTTTAGAGTTGATAGAATACCTCCTATCGGTTTTTACAGAGAGTCTGTCTTGTATACCTTGGAAACCTGCAATCGATCTCATTTATCTAGAAAACCTTCAATTGAACTCCGACAATCAGAAAGTATCCTATTTATAAGACCTACTGTAGATCTTCTATAGTTAAAGATCTCCTACCCGGTTTCTATCGGCAGAGGACCTCCTTTTGGACATCTATAGTCAGTAGGTCTCATATCGATCTTCTAAGTAGTAAGAACTTTTATAGGTCTTTAGTAGATAAAAAATCTCCTGTTGACCTTGGGTGGTCCTTCGTAGGAAGAATACCTCCTTTCGGTCATCTACATACACAAGACTTCCTGTTGGTCCTTCATACAATTTTATTCTAATCAAAAATAGCTTGACATTTATTGGAATACTTTTTAAACAATTAAGGGGACCCCCCCATTCTCGGGGTAAAAATTTTTGTTGATATAATTCGAATCTACACTGTTTAAAGAATGTCTCTACAAAATTTCAAGTGAAAATTTCAAGAACTCTTGAAGATATATCCGATTTATTGTGTCAGCATCAAGTGACGGCTGAAGGACTTCTCAAACTTTTTTTTCTCAAAATATTTTTTTGCTGGCGGGCAATCAAAAACTAATAATCCAATCGGTTCCAAATTTTGCAACGTTTCTCTGGGAGTGTATATAAAGCCAAATTTTTTAACTTGGTTTTTGGTAAAAAATCGGCGATTTTCCAAAAATATTTTTTCAAAGTTCCACCATTTAGTTAATTTTAGAGCGAAGTCAATAATCCTAGTTCATACAAAAGCCAGACATGTACTCTTTCTAACACCGTTGGAATTTTCGGATTCCGATGTTTCAGTGAGGAGTTATCATGCCCGCCATCAAAAATGAGGACTTTTCTTTAATTACAAAAAACAACAACAAAACAATAAAAATTTTTTTTTGTAAATTATTTTTCTTCTCTTTTAAATCTTCAATTATATATGTGCAAAGTTACAAACCTTAACAAGCAGTTGTATTCATTTACCAGCCCATTGAAAATCCTGAAAAAATGAAATCGAGAATGGGGGGGGGGGGGGGGGGGGTTACCCTTAAAATTTAAATATTTATAATATTTTTTAGTTTTTTGTTGCATTATCTGATTTCAGTTAAAATAGAATATTAATGTGTTTAAGATTGTATACATGGAATATTATTTTTCAATATGTCTTTTCTCCAATTCTATTTTTTTTAATTCTGAAAAAAAAAATATAAAAGAAAACAACATTATTAACTTATAAATTAAAATATTTGTATTCAATTGTAAAAATTAATATTGAATAAGACCCAATTACATTTTATAAACAATTTTTTAAATACAAAGAAAAATGCAATTATTATAACTATTTAAATTCAATTATTTTTATTAAATTAATATTATATAAAAATAATATAATATAAAAAAACATATTTTTATTGTGTGTCTCTCTATCTCTTTATAGTCTGATAATAGAAATAAGTATACATATATAAAATTATTATATTAAAAAAAATAATAAAATTAAAATTCGTTTGAAAAATCATATTTACCACAAGTTGTATTAGTGTTAACATTTTCAATTTCAATAGACTTCAAAAATTCAATTCAATATATCTGCAAATAAATGACAGCAAACAATTTTAATACCAAAACGTGAACTAACTGTGACATTTCAATGGCAATTATTCTTCATTGTATAACCCGGGTGTATGGTATGGGTGTGTCTGTGTTTTCTGTTATATAAGTACATATTTGAAAAGTTAAATGTGTATTGGTGGTATTTGGTATCATGGCAAATTTATTACCTGCTCATTTCGTTCTGGTCACCACGGCAGTTGTATATCTACATAATCCTTTTGGGGCGATTT